ATGATATGTTTGTGGTAGTCAGTCTGTGTGGTAGGATCATGGTTAATATGTAGATTTTATGTTTCTGGTAGTGAGTCTGTGTAATAGGATCCTGGTTAATATGTAGATTATATATGTTTGTGGTAGTGAGTCTGTGTGATAGGATCCTGGTTTATATGTAGAAGATATGTTTGTGGTAGTCAGTCTGTGTGGCTGGATCCTGGTTAATATGTAGATGATATGTTTGTGGTAGTCTGTCTGTGTGATAGGATCCTGGTTAATATGTAGATGATATGTTTGTGGTAGTCAGTCTGTGTGCTAGGATCCTGGTTAATATGTAGATGTTATGTTTGTGGTAGTCAATCTGTGTGATAGGATCCTGGTTAATATGTAGATGGTATCCATGTGGTAGTGAGTCTGTGAGATAGGATCCTGCTTAATATGTAGATGATATGTTTGTGGTAGTCAGTCTGTGTGATAGGATCCTGGTTAATATGTAGATGATATGTTTGTGGTAGTGAGTCTGTGTGATAGGATCCTGGTTAATATATAGATGATATGTTTGTGGTAGTGAGTCTGTGTTATAGGATCCTGGATAATATGTAGATGATATGTTTGTGGTAGCCAGTCTGTGCGATAGGATCCTGATTAATATGTTGATGATATGCTTTCGGTAGTCAGTCTGTGTGGTAGGTTCCTTGTTAATGTGTAGATGATATGATTGAGGTAGATAGTCTGTGTGATAGGATCCTGGTTAATATGTAGATGATATGTTTGTGGTAGTCAGTCTGTGTGATAGGATCCTGGTTAATATGTAGATGATATGTTTGTGGTAGTCAGTCTGTGTGATAGGATGATGGTTAATAGGTAGATAATATGTTTGTGATAGTCAGTCTGTGTGATAGGACCCTGGTTAATATGTAGATGATATGTTTGTGGTAGTGAGCCTGTGTCATAGGATCATGGTTAATAAGTAGATGATATGTTTGTGGTTGTCAGTCTGTGTGATAGGATCCTTTTTAATATGTAGATGATATGTTTGTGGTAGCCAGTCTTTGTGATAGGATCCTGATTAATATGTTGATGATATGTTTTCGGTAGTCAGTCTGTGTGGTAGGTTCCTTGTTAATGTTTAGATGATATGTTTGAGGTAGATAGTCTGTGTGATAGGATCCTGGTTAATATGTAGATGATATGTTTGTGGTAGTCAGTCTGTGTGATAGGATCCTGGTTAATATGTAGATGATATGTTTGTGGTAGTCAGTCTGTGTGATAGGATCCTGGTTAATATGTAGATGATATGTTTGTGGTAGTCAGTCTGTGTGGTAGGATCCTGGTTAATATGTAGATAATATGTTTGTGATAGTCAGTCTGTGTGATAGGATCCTGGTTAATATGTAGATGATATGTTTGTGGTAGTGAGCCTGTGTAATAGGATCCTGGTTAATATGTAGATGATATGTTTGTGGTAGTGAGTCTGTGTGATAGGATCCGGGTTAATATGTAGATGATATGTTTGTGGTAGCCAGTCTGTGTGATAGGATCCTGGTTAATATGTAGATGTTTTGTTTGTGGTAGTGAGCCTGTGTGATAGGATCATGGTTAATATGTAGATGATATGTTTTGTGGTAGTCAGCCTGTGTGCTAGGATCCGGGTTAATATGTAGATGTTATGTTTGTGGTAGCCAATCTGGGTGATAGGATCCTGGTTAATATGTAGATGGTATGCTTGTGGTAGTGAGTCTGTGTGATAGGATGATGGTTAACATATAGATGATATGTTTGTGGTAGTGAGTCTGTGTAGTAGGATCCTGGTTAATATGTAGATGATATGTTTGTGGTAGTCGGCCTGTGTGATAGGATCCTGGTTAATATGTAGATGATATGTTTGTGGTAGTGAGTATGTGTGAAAGGATCGTGCTTAATATGTAGATGATATGTTTGTGGTAGTCAGTCTGTGTTATAGGATCCTGGTTAATATGTAGATGATGTGTTTGTGGTAGTCAGTCTGTGTGGTAGGATCCTGCTTAATATGTAGATGATATGTTTGTGGTAGTGAGTCTGTGTGATAGGATCCTGGATAATATGTAGATGATATGCTTGTGGTAGCCAGTCTGTGTGATTGGATCCTGGTTTATTTGTAGGTGATATCTTTGTGGTAGCCAGTCTGTGTGATAGGATCCTGGTTAATATGTAGATGATATGTTTGTTGTAGTCAGTCTGTGTGATAGGATCCTGGTTTATATGTAGATGATATGTTTGTGGTTGTGAGCCTGTGTGATAGGATCCTGATTAATATGTAGATGATATGATTGTGGTAGTCAGTCTGTGTGGTAGGTTCCTGGTTAATGTGTAGATGTTATGTTTGTGGTAGATAGTCTGTGTGATAGGATCCTGGTTAATATGTAGATGATATGTTTGTTGTAGTGAGCCTGTGTGATAGGATCCTGGTTAATATGTAGATGATATGTTTGTGGTAGTCAGCCTGTGTGGTAGGATCCGGGTTAATATGTAGATGATATGCTTGTGGTACTCAATCTGTGTGATAGGTTCCTGGTTAATATGTAGATGGTATGCTTGTGGTAGTCAGTCTGTGTTATAGGATCCTGGTTAATATGTAGATGATATTTTTGTGGTAGTCAGTCTGTGTGGTAGGATCATGGTTAATATGTAGATGATATGTTTGTGGCAGTGAGTCTGTGTGATAGGATCCTGGTTAATATGTAGATGATATGCTTGTGGTAGCCAGTCTGTGTGATAGGATCCTGGTTTATTTGTAGGTGATATGTTTGTGGTAGTGAGTCTGTGTGATAAGATCCAGGTTAACATGTAGATGATATCTTTGTGGTAGCCAGTCTGTGTGATAGGATGCTGGTTAATATGTAGATGATATGTTTGTGGTAGTCAGTCTGTGTGATAGGATCCTGGTTAATATGTAGATGATATGTTTGTGGTTGTGAGCCTGTGTGATAGGATCCTGGTTAATATGTAGATGATATGTTTGTGGTATCCAGTCTGTGTGATAGGATCCTGCTTAATATGTAGATTATATGTTTGTGGTAGTCAGTCTATGTGGGAGGTTCCTGGTTTATGTGTAAATGATATGTTTGTGGTAGATAGTCTATGTGATAGGATCGTGGATGATATGTAGATGTCATATTTGTGGTAGTCAGTCTATGTGATAGGATCCTGGTTAATATGTAGATAATATGTTCGTAGTAGCCAGCCTGTGTGGTATTATCCTGGTTAATATGTAGACGTTATGTTTGTGGTAGTCAGCATGTGTGGTAGGAACCTGGTTAATATGTAGATGATATGTTTGTGGTAGTGAGCCTGTGTGGTAGGATCCTGGTTAATATGTAGATGATATGTTTGTGGTAGTCAGTATGTGTGATAGGATTCAGGTTAATATGTAGAAGATATGTTTGTGGTAGTCAGTCTGTGTGGTAGGATCCTGGTTAATATGTAGATGCTATGTTTGTGGCAGTGAGTCTGTGTGATAGGATCCTGCTTAATATGTAGATGATATGCTTGTGGTAGCCAGTCTGTGTGATTGGATCCTGGTTTATTTGTAGGTGATATGTTTGTGGTAGCCAGTCTGTGTGATAGGATGCTGGTTAATATGTAGATGATATGTTTGTGGTTGTGAGCCTTTGTGATAGGATCCTGCTTAATATGTAGATAATATGTTTTGTGGTAGTCAGTCTGTGTGCTTGGATCCGGGTTAATATGTAGATGTTATGTTTGTGGTAGTCAATCTGGGTGATAGGATCCTGGTTAATATGTAGATGGTATGCTTGTGGTAGTGAGTCTGTGTGGCTGGATCCTGGTTAATATGTAGAAGATATGTTTGTGGTAGTCAGTCTGTGTGATAGGATCCTGGTTAATATGTAGATAATATGTTTGTGGTAGTGAGCCTGTGTGATAGGATGATGGTTAACATATAGATGATATGTTTGTGGTAGTGAGTCTGTGTAGTAGGATCCTGGTTAATATGTAGATGATATGTTTGTGGTAGTCAGTCTGTGTGATAAGATCCTGGTTGATATGTAGATGATATGTTTGTGGTAGTGAGTCTGTGTGATAGGATCCTAGTTTATATGTAGATCTTATGTTTACGGTAGTCAGTCTGTGTAATAGGATCCTGGTTAATATGTAGATGATATTTTTGTGGTAGTGAGCCTGTGTGGTAGGATCATGGTTAATATGTAGATGATATGTTTGTGGTAGTCGGCCTGTGTGATAGGATCCGGGTTAATATGTAGATGATATGTTTGTGGTAGTGAGTATGTGTGAAAGGATCGTGCTTAATATGTACATGATATGTTTGTGGTAGTCAGTCTGTGTTATAGGATCCTGGTTAATATGTAGATGATGTGTTTGTGGTAGTCAGTCTGTGTGATAGGATCCTGGTTAATATGTAGATGATATGTTTGTGGTAGTCAGTCTGTGTGGTAGGATCCTGGTTAATATGTAGATTATATGTTTGTGGTAGTCAGTCTGTGTGATAGGATCATGGTTAATATATGGATGATATGTTTGTGGTAGTCAGTCTGTGTGATATTATCCTGGTTAATATGTAGATTATATGTTTGTGGTAGTCAGTCTGTGTGGTAGGATCCTTGTTAATATGTAGATGATATGTTTGTGGTAGTGAGTCGGTGTGATAGGATCCTGGTTAATATGTTGATTATATGTTTGTGGTAGTCAGTCTGTGTGGTAGGATCCTGGTTAATATGTAGATGATATGTTTGTGCTAGTCAGTCTGTGTGATAGGATCCTGGTAAATTGACACGATACGTTTGTGGTAGTAAGCCTGTGTCATATTGTAGGAGCGTGATCATCCCGAGTGTCACTGACTAAATGTACACTTTGTGGTAGTTGGATTAACCGAAACCTCCACCATTTCGCCAAAGCTAGCAAAACATTGTTTGTTCAAATTGAGGAGAAGTGCTTCATCTGTGGCCAACGGATATGGAGTGATGTGTGGTGAAGCATGGAACCTTGTGAAATATTCCTACCTGGTTGATGAATGATCGTGATCTTGAATATCGCCTTGAAATCGGGTTCGTCAAAACACGGGAAGACTCGGCGGGTATCTGTGGGCTGCAACTGCGAGGACGCCAGGTACCTGTGGAGAACAAACAACGACTGCAGATAGAAACACAATTATACCTACTGCAGATATGATCCACACGTCTCAAAGTTACATTACTGTACTGCAGATATGATCCACACGTCTCACAGCTACACTATTGTACTGCAGATAGGATCCACACGTCTCACAGCTACACTATTGTACTGCAGATAGGATCCACACGTCTCACAGCTACACTATTGTACTGCAGATAGGATCCACACGTTTCACAGTTACACTACTGTACTGCAGATAGGATCCACACGTCTCACAGCTACATCACTGTACTGCAGATAGGATCCACACGTCTCACAGCTACATTACTGTACTGTAGATATGATCCACACGTCTCACAGCTACATTACTGTACTGCAGATAGAAACACACTTATACATACTGCAGATAGGATCGACACATCTCACAGCTACACTAATGTACTGCAGATAGGATCCACACATCTCACAGCTGCACTACTGTACTGCAGATAGGATCCACACATCTCACAGTTACACTACTGTACTGCAGATAGGATCCACACATCTCACAGCTACATTACTGTACTGCAGATAGGATCCACACATCTCACAGCTACATTACTGTACTGCAGATAGGATCCACACATCTCATAGCTACACTAATGTACTGCAGATACGATCCACACGTCTCACAGCTACACTATTGTACTGCAGATAGGATCCACACATCTCACAGCTACATTACTGTACTGCAGATAGGATCCACACATCTCACAGCTACAATACTGTACTGCAGATAGGATCCACACATCTCACAGCTACATTACTGTACTGCAGATAGGATCCACAGTCTCACAGCTACATTACTGTACTGCAGATAGGATCCACACATCTCACAGCTACATTACTGTACTGCAGATAGGATCCACACATCTCACAGCTACATTACTGTACTGCAGATAGGATCCACACGTCTCACAGCTACATTACTGTACTGCAGATAGGATCCACACGTCTCACAGCTACATTACTGTACTGCAGATAGGATCCACACATCTCACAGCTACATTACTGTATTGGGATCCACATCTCACAGCTACATTACTGTACTGCAGATAGGATCCACACATCTCACAGCTACACTATTGTACTGCAGATATGATCCACACGTCTCACAGCTACATTACTGTACTGCAGATATGATCCACACGTCTCATAGCTACACTAATGTACTGCAGATAGGATCCACACGTCTCACAGCTACATTACTGTACTGCAGATAGGATCCACACATCTCACAGCTACATTACTGTACTGCAGATAGGATCCACACATCTCACAGCTACAATACTGTACTGCAGATAGGATCCACACATCTCACAGCTACATTACTGTACTGCAGATAGGATCCACAGTCTCACAGCTACATTACTGTACTGCAGATAGGATCCACACATCTCACAGCTACATTACTGTACTGCAGATAGGATCCACACATCTCACAGCTACATTACTGTACTGCAGATAGGATCCACACATCTCACAGCTACATTACTGTACTGCAGATAGGATCCACACGTCTCACAGCTACATTACTGTACTGCAGATAGGATCCACACATCTCACAGCTACATTACTGTACTGCAGATAGGATCCACACATCTCACAGCTACATTACTGTACTGCAGATAGGATCCACACATCTCACAGCTACACTATTGTACTGCAGATATGATCCACACGTCTCACAGCTACATTACTGTACTGCAGATAGAAACACACTTATACATACTGCAGATAGGATCCACACATCTCACAGCTACATTACTGTACTGAGATAGGATCCACACGTCTCACAGCTACACAACTGTACTACAGATAAGATCCACACATCTCACAGCTACACAACCGTACTACAGATAGGATCCACACGTATCAGAGCTACACTATTGTACTACACATAAGATCCACACATCTGACAACTACACTACTGCACTACTCTCACAGCTACGCTACTGTACTGCAGATAGGATCCACACATCTCACAGCTACATTACTGTACTGCAGATAGGATCCACACGTCTCACAGCTACAATACTGTACTGCAGATAGGATCCACACATCTCACAGCTACATTACTGTACTGCAGATAGGATCCACAGTCTCACAGCTACATTACTGTACTGCAGATAGGATCCACACATCTCACAGCTACATTACTGTACTGCAGATAGGATCCACACATCTCACAGCTACATTACTGTACTGCAGATAGGATCCACACATCTCACAGCTACATTACTGTACTGCAGATAGGATCCACACGTCTCACAGCTACATTACTGTACTGCAGATAGGATCCACACATCTCACAGCTACATTACTGTACTGCAGATAGGATCCACACATCTCACAGCTACATTACTGTACTGCAGATAGGATCCACACGTCTCACAGCTACACTATTGTACTGCAGATATGATCCACACGTCTCACAGCTACATTACTGTACTGCAGATAGAAACACACTTATACATACTGCAGATAGGATCCACACATCTCACAGCTACATTACTGTACTGAGATAGGATCCACACGTCTCACAGCTACACAACTGTACTACAGATAAGATCCACACATCTCACAGCTACACAACCGTACTACAGATAGGATCCACACGTATCAGAGCTACACTATTGTACTACACATAAGATCCACACATCTGACAACTACACTACTGCACTACTCTCACAGCTACGCTACTGTACTGCAGATAGGATCCACACGTCTCACAGCTACAATACTGTACTACAGATAGGATCCACACATCTCACAGCTACAATACTGTACTACAGATAGGATCCACACGTATCACAGCTACAATACTGTACTACAGATAGGATCCACACATCTCACAGCTACAATACTGTACTGCAGATGGGATCCACACGTCTCACAGCTACATTACTGTACTGCAGATAGGATCCACACGTCTCACAGCTACAATACTGTACTACAGATAGGATCCACACATCTCACAGCTACAATACTGTACTACAGATAGGATCCACACATCTCACAGCTACAATACTGTACTACAGATAGGATCCACAGTCTCACAGCTACAATACTGTACTGCAGATAGGATCCACACATCTCACAGCTACATTACTGTACTGCAGATAGGATCCACACGTCTCACAGCTACAATACTGTACTGCAGATAGGATCCACACGTCTCACAGCTACACTATTGTACTGCAGATAGGATCCACACATCTCCATACATTCCTCAGGCTGTTCCATACATTCCTCAGGTTGTTCCATACATTCCTGAGGCTGTTCCATACATTCCTGAGCCTGTTCCATACATTCATGAGGCTGTTCCATACATTCCTGAGGCTGTTCCATACATTCCTGAGCCTGTTCCATACAATCCTGAGCCTGTTCCATACATTCCTGAGGCTGTTCCGTTCCATACATTCCAGAGGCTGTTCCGTTCCATACATTCCTAAGCCTGTTCCATACATTCATGAGGCTGTTCGATACATCCCTGAGGCTGTTCCGTTCCATACATTCCTTAGGCTGCTCCATACAATCCTGAGCCTGTTCCATACATTCCTGAGGCTGTTCCGTTCCATACATTCCTGAGCCTGTTCCATACATTCCTGAGCCTGTTCCATACAATCCTGAGCCTGTTCCATACATTCCTGAGGCTGTTCCGTTCCATACATTCCTGAGCCTGTTCCATACATTCCTGAGCCTGTTCCACACATTCCTGAGGCTGTTCCGTTCCATACATTCCTTAGACTGCTCCATACAATCCTGAGCCTGTTCCACACATTCCTGAGGCTGTTCCGTTCCATACATTCCTTAGGCTGTTCCATACATTCCTGAGGCTGTTCCATACATTTCTGAGCCTGCTACTTAATGCCGCTTCTTCTTATGTGTCCGTTGTGTTCATAAATCTAACCTGGGCGTTTCAATACAATGTATTGATTATTAGTTCTTCTTGTGCCGACATGTACCGACTTCACAATTTAGTTCTATGCGTACCGATTTCTGATGTTTAATTCAGTTTGGAAATCGCCTTGTATTGGAGGCTCGTCAAGGATTTATGGATTGAATTTACTTGACTTCTACAGTTGGAAACAAGATATTTTCAGTGGTAGATTGGCAAGTGTTTAATCTTTTTCATTCTATCAATATTGTTTTGCACAGAATTATTGTGAAATCACTATTTGTAATACGGAGTCTTAGGTCGAGACAGTTGTTGAGACTCAAGTGAGGTGCAAAAACATGTTTAGAAGAAATCAGCTTTCTCAAATGTTATAATGGATGCGCTGTCTTCAACGACAAAAAGCAAACTTTACAATCTTGCGGAATATTTGGCTGAACTTTTGGGTTATTCAGCCTTGGCTAAAATAATTGGAGAACACTCATAGCGATTTCAGCTGAAAAAACTGGTAATGGAATTTCAAAGAGAACTAAAGGAAATGGAATTTTAAAGAGACAGGTAAGAGTAAAAGCAAGGGAGGCATGTTACACAGGCAATTCACAGATGTATCATTATGTGGAGAAAAACTTGAACGTGATTTAAATAGACAAAACTTATTATTTTAAACCCAGTAGGTATATTAAAGCATGAGACACCACTATAGAGCATTGTCGGGATATCAGAGACATGGCCAAATATGCAATTCATGGGTTCTCTGACATGAATTTCGAACTGTATTTCGATCTTAGTGCATTGTGTGTATACAATGTGTAATGTTTTGTCAAAATGCTTAGGCAACGTCTGTATAAGACAGTGTTACATCACAATGCTTAGGCAACGTGTGTATAAGACGGCGTTACATCACAATGCTTAGGCAACGTCTTTATAAGACGGTGTTACATCACAATACTTAGGCAACGTCTGTATAAGACGGTGTTACATCACAATACTTAGGCAACATCTGTATAACACGGTGTTACATCACAATACTTAGGCAACGTCTGTATAACACGGTGTTACATCACAATACTTAGGCAACATCTGTATCAGACGGTGCTACATCACAATACTTAGGCAACGTCTGTATAATACGGTGTTACATGACAATACTTAGGCAACGTCTGTATAACAAGGTGTTACATCACAATACTTAGGCAACATCTGTATAAGACGGTGCTACATCACAATACTTAGGCAACGTCTGTATAAGACGGTGTTACATCACAATACTTAGGCAACATCTGTATTAGACGATGTTACATCACAATACTTAGGCAACGTCTCTATAACAAGATGTTACATCACAATACTTAGGCAACGTCTGTATAGCAAGGTGTTACATCACAATACTTAGGCAACGTCTGTATAAGACGGTGTTACATCACAATACTTAGGCAACGTCTTTATAACACGGTGTTACATCACAATACTTAGGCAACGTCTGCATAACACGGTGTTACATCACAATACTTAGGCAACGTCTGTATAAGACGCGTTACATCACAATACTTAGGCAACGTCAGTATAACACGGTGTTACATCACAATACTTAGGCAACGTCTGTATAACACGGTGTTACATGACAATACTTAGGCAACGTCTGTATAAGACGCGTTACATCACAATACTTAGGCAACGTCTGTATAACACGGTGTAACATCACAATAATTAGGGGACGTCTGTATAAGACGGTGTTACATCACAATACTTAGGCAACGTCTGTATAACACGGTGTTACATCACAATACTTAGGCAACGTCTGTATGAGACGCGTTACATCACAATACTTAGGCAACGTCTGTATAAGACGGTGTAACATCACAGTAATTAGGGGACGTCTGTATAAGACGGTGTTACATCACAATACTTAGGCAACGTCTGTATAAGACGTTGTTACATGACAATACTATCTGTATGAGACGCGTTACATCACAATACTTAGGCAACGTCTTTATAACACGGTGTTACATCACAATACTTAGGGGACGTCTGTATAGGAAGGCGTTACATCACAATACTTAGGCAACGTCTGTATAAGACGGTGTTACATCACAATACTTAGGCAATGTCTGTATAACACGGTGTTACATCACAATACTTAGGCAACGTCTGTATAACACGGTGTTACATCACAATGCTAAGGCAACGTCTGTATAAGAAGGCGTTACATCACAATGCTCAGGGAACGTCTTTATAGGACGGTGTTACCATCACAATGTTTAGGCAACGTCTTTATAGGACGGTGTTACCATCACAATGTTTAGTCAACGTCTTTATAGCAAGGCGTTACGTCACAATGCTAAGGCAACGTCTGTTTAGGACGATGTTACGTCACAATGTTTAGGCAATGTTCTGTAATCAGATATTGTAGATCAGGACATATACCGCTACCAGAAATTGAAGGAGAGGACATATGCTGTGATCACATATTGTAGGGCTTCACATACACTGTTATCAGATGTTGCAGTAGAGAGGACATGTACTCTGTAGGTGTCAGATGCTGTAGGTGTCGGGACAGGTATTGTCATCAGATGTTGCAGGAGAGAGGGCATGTACTCTGATCAGATGCTGTAGGTGTCGGGACAGGTATTGTCATCAGATGTTGCAGGAGAGAGGACATGTACTCTGATCAGATGCTGTAGGTGTCGGGACAGGTATTGTCATCAGATGTTGCAGGAGAGAGGACATGTACTCTGATCAGATGCTGTAGGTGTCGGGACAGGTATTGTCATCAGATGTTGTAGGAAAGGACATGTACTCTGATCAGATGCTGTAGGTGTCGGGACAGGTATTGTCATCAGATGTTGTTCGTTCGTAAGAGGTCAAATGTTGCTCGGCGTGGTCCTGGTGTCGGAGGTTCACCTATTTATCTAGTTTTGAATACCTTATGGAACGAGGTATCTTTCATATGTATGATACTCCTTTTTACGTTTTAAGCTTATATTTTATACATTTTATGCACATATTGTCTCATTGGCCATTTGGCCTGGTGTTTGTATATTTTATGCTTTTACCGCTGCCTTTTTAATTGCAATGTACATTCACGTGACACAAAAATAAACTATTTTGTCTGTCTGGTATACGAGAGCTACAATCCCACGCTCATCTTGGCGCTATATTTTACGCGGCTTTTGGTATATGTTCTTATTCATGACACATGCTTTCCGTAGTGTCACATGACTAGGGGCTACCAAACCAGGCTGATGCAAATGCATATCAAGATAACAGGAAACAAGTGTGACAGAGTGTTTTCAAAGACTCTAATGCGTATGTTTCCAATGATTTCAACGTGACCGTAATGAAACAATTAGAACATTATAGATCGTCCCATGTTAAATAACAGTGTTTATATCCCAGCATGCCCATTCGTCGTAAATTCAAAATATGCAACAAACATTACAGAGTGCCTTGCATTTAATGTACACATTGAGAAATAGCTGTCTGAGTAGTTGAACTAAATTACATGTTTCCGTGGCGCTCATACTAATATTGGCCAGATTGCTGGCTGACTCAGGGCCACAAGTTTCCCAGCACATGAACACAGGCCACGTCACAGACAAGGAACAAGACTCGATGGATACATGACAAACACAGCATAAAAACCCGCACATCAAGCAGATGAAACCCTGTGTAGATACACTGGCTGTATGTGGAATTCCGTTAGCAGCTCTGTAATGGACAACGATGACGTCTGGAGCTGCTGTCACTAACTCAGACACAGACACAACAGCTGGGAGCAGTCTCGCAAATATGCACCTTTTCTCAGAGAAGTTCTCAGAAAAGTCTTGATTGCTTGTCGTATGAGACAGTCAAAGTAGGTCGAAGCCCAAAATATAACATGCGTGAATAATACCATATTTTGGTTTGAAAATGTTTGGTATCCATAAAGTTTGTTCTATATTGTACTTCCCAACTTCTAAAATGCCACTCATAGAAGTGAATAAAACCCTTTTCTCGTTCTTTGTTTTCGTGAAGGAAACATCAGGTTCTATATATGGAGACCAGCAGACTTGCAGCTGCAGATGCAGCGACCCGTGAGTGCTAACTGCCGGTGTAGAAGGCTGTCAGTGTCAACTACAGGTGTAGACATGTGAAGACAACTGTCAATGTCAACTGCAGGTATAGAAGGCTGTCACTGTCAACTGCAGTAGTAGAGAACTGTCAGTACTAACTACAGGTGTAGAGGACTTTCAGTGCTAACTACAGGTGTAGAGGACTGTCAGTGCTAACTACAGGTGTAGAGGACTGTCAGTGCTAACTACAGGTGTAGATGACTGTCAGAGCTAACTACAGGTGTAGATGACTGTCAGTGCTAACTACAGGTGCAGATGACTGTCAGTGCTAACTACAGGTGTAGATGACTGTCAGTGCTAACTACAGGTGTAGAGGACTGTCAGTGCTAACTACAGTGCTACTGTCAGTGCTAACTACAGGTGTAGAGGACTGTCAGTGCTAACTACAGGTGTAGAGGACTGTCAGTGCTAACTACAGGTGTAGAGGACTGTCAGTGCTAACTACAGGTGTAGAGGACTGTCAGTGCTAACTACAGGTGTAGAGGACTGTCAGTGCTAACTACAGGTGTAGAGGACTGTCAGTGCTAACTACAGGTGTAGAGGACTGTCAGTGCTAACTACAGGTGTAGAGGACTGTCAGTGCTAACTACAGGTGTAAAGGAGTGTCAGTACTAACTACAGGTGTATAGAACTGTCAGTACTAACTACAGGTATAAAGGACTGTCAGTGCTAACTACAGGTGTAGATGACTGTCAGTACTAACTGCAGGTGTAAAGGAGTGTCAGTACTAACTACAGGTGTATAGAACTGTCAGTGCTAACTACAGGTATAAAGGACTGTCAGTACTAACTACAGGTGTA